GTAGCAGGGTCAGACAGCGTCACGTACAGTGCCCCGGCATCTGAACATCAGCGGAAGATAACCCGAATTTTGAGCAGGGTCAAAGAGAGCAATTGCCCCAGGCAATTCTTGGCCGTCCTTGGGTTTCTGCTGATCGGCTGAGCATATGGTATCTGTTTCGTCTTTCATTCTGGTAGCATTCGCAAAAAAACTTCCACTATAGCTAGGTTCACAACATGGAAGCTTCAATACACAAACTTATGAGTCCATTTTTCTCCAAATCAATAGATCATAACTGTGATGGTTCTGACATGCGGTAAGAATATCGGAGAAAAGATTCACAACACAACATGAATAAATGAGTCTGCTATAACACAACTGCAACTAACAGTAAAATAATAATCCGCTTACAGGATTATATATGAACGTGTAAAACAGTTCACCACCATAAATGTTGTTGTCGAGTTGAGATTTCCCACCAGGGTACTGATTCATGTACATTGTGTGGGTATAAAGACCACAGGTTTGTCGTGGAAGCACCTACAAATGAATGGTTTTATTAATGAAGAAATGTGCAACGCTTTCATTATGAAAATATACCAAAATACACAGAACAGTCATAAAACATAGTTTTGGATAGACTGAGCGATTAGAAAGAGTTTTATAACTGTACAAAAATATAAGCTTGATCTTTAGTCAGTTGTTCGCACTCCCAAGTATGCCAAACAATGAAAGACGTCTCCGATTCATGGCCATTGCCACTTCTTCCTCTTAATTAACCGGGGGAAGGGGAGAGTTAAGAAGGCCACAGTTCCATGGTATTTTAGTAACTGCAGTGCATGGAGGTAAAACCACCTCAATGAGCACGGCTGAATAAAAACCTACTCCTGAAAACATTATGGAGCCGTAGCCCGTTTAAATGGTCCCCTAATCTATTAAAAATAAGAGGACAGTGCGACAACGTCATGTAAAATCCGTAATTTACAGAAAACAGTTTTTCAACTGATATAATGCTTCGTACGTACCAAAATTAAACAATAAAGTAAATATTTTACCTTAATGTCGCTATAGATGAAACCTCTGCGAAGCGAAGTTGGGCGAAAATGCGGATATTCTTCTGTAGAAGTCACTTTTATTCCCCAAACCTTTTTCCAGGCCTTATACAAAGGATCATGAACCGGATAAATGCCGGAATGATGAGGCGACACGGCGTACGGAAAGGGAACAGGAATGTTATAATTCTGCAAAATAATGTCGATTAAACATCGAAATACGACAGAACGTTACGACAATGAAATGTCTGTGAGTTGGTGCATGCAAATTCTCATACTGAAGGAGGGTTAAAAATGCGTTAACTATGTATATAAAAGCACATGCCATGCTGGAAGAAAAACATGCATAAAATGATTATGTTGATGATGAGGTCCATGGTCTTGAACTCATGCACGCAAAATCAATCCTTTCTAGCGAGTTCTTTGCATGGAAACAAGTAGAATTATGCAGTGGCACGGTGAAAACTAAAACTTAATCACAAATTAAGCACTGGTCAATCTTCAATCATTCTATTTTCTACTTGTCTATTCTGTAGACGCTCAGCCTTAAGATCTGTTCGAGGATCAAAATTTATTATGACCACAGAGATGCTGAATTTGCCACCCGTCCGTAAGGCAGAGAAGGCGGTGCAGCGTTGTGGATATGAACTAGTCAGAGGCTGCCGAAAAATACATCTGAACCAGCGGTCTTCAACGACAGGAGGGGGTAATATTGCAATGGCTGTGAAAAATGAGTTCGACGTCTTGCAGAGGGAACGCATTCGCAACAGGATAAGGAGATACAAATAGTCGAACACTTCAAGCTCCCTGATGCCTTCTGCCCTGGGAAACTAGCACTCACTAGCAAATATACAGTGAAACAGATTTGACAGCGCACCTATATCTTTATTATCAGGCTAAGTTACCGACGCTCCAGATTAAGTAGCAGTGTTGGAAGAATAACCGTCTGGCGGTCGCAACCATGGCAGCAATTTCATCTTTAGACTGTCCGTTTGATTGATTCAACCAGAGATTCATAATAGCAGTAAAAATTAACCCTCACTGTGACCGAAGAATATGATTCCATGATTATTTCCTTTACATAGCGAAGCAGTGATGGAGCAATTACTTCCTCTTCTATTCAAAGAGAAGGTCAGAAGTTCATATCCATGCTGGAAATAAAACTTCCATCCGCAGAATTACTTTCTACAAAGCTACCTATTCATTACTTAACAACCACTCCATCTATCAGGGAACTTTCAGCACTGGCAGAACACCTGTGACCACCTTGTTCTACAAGATTCGCAACAACCTATTTACGTAGTGGCTTTCCCTCATGCAGCTTTCTCACAGCTAGAATTACAACTTCTGCACAGCTCGAAAAACAGCTATAAGCTATTTCTTTTTCAAAACAGGAAATATCGTTTCTCAAGGTTCATTAAAGAAACATAATGGGATTATAGAATTCTGAAAATATCTTTGTACTGGGGTGGATAGACACTGAAGTTAAGGAATGAGATAGGTCGATCTACTGTGTTAAAACGGAGTGTTAAGTAACATTTTACTTCTGATCGCTCTACGCTGATCAAGAATTCATCGAAGTAACGCAAAGCGATCATGTACAAAGATAAACTATTAATATTACATTATTTCTAGTCGTATCTTAGTGGTAACGAGCCACTTCAGGTCGGCCCTGACGACCGATTTACTGAACTGTGACGGTAACTAGTCCAATATCTCAACCCAGTATCCCATGAGTGGACTAATGGGTTCCAAGCAAACTTTGAGCCCCAACAATTATTAGTAGGCGGTTTGTAATTATTAACTGTTCATCTAATCATTTGTCTCACCTACCATATATAAAGTATTTGTGCAATTAATCATATGAGCATAAGATTCGCTACGATCATAGAAATAAAATACGACCAGGGAGATTGCAGGAGAACTCGCTTCTACGCATCCTCATTTTAAGCTGACCTCCTCTAGTTGTTAAATGATGTAGCAAAACTCGTGCATGTGTTAAGCTGGCGGCAAAAGACGATCAACATGTCAGTCAGGAGACCGCGTTTCAGACGGCCATTGGCATCAGTCATTTTTCGAACCGGCAGGGAAAAGAGCGTGCACTAGAGTCAGGCAGCGGGCGGGCAGCAAAGGCCGGGCGTTGTACCTGTACAAAGTACTTATTCAACTCCATGTCGACGAGTAATTCAGATTCGTTGTGTCGGTAGTGCGGCTGAATATGCGTGAACGAGTGAGGGAACCAGTGAAACCGCGTGGCTTGTGCTAACACATAAACAACAAAAAACATTAATACAGCGACAACGCACCTTGGCAAACTGTTGATTAAGCAGCAAGAAATGTTCCAGCATCGTGAAGTTCCATTGATGTGGCTTCTGGTGACGCCATAAATGTGGAAACCATCGAAACTTAGGGGCGTTTTCTGCAACACGGCATCATGTCGCTTACAACGTCGTCACTTACATCTGACGATGTTTGGTCGCCGCGATACAAAAGCGAAATAATTCAAATGAAAATAACAGAAAACTAATGAAAACATAAACATCACCTATCTACAGAGGAACACAAGGAATTCAACAGTCTCGAACTGCCTTTGTACTTATACTTTGAGCAAAGTTACAATACCTCATGCATATCATTTGACCATGGAACTCAATCACTAACAGCTCCAAACGTAACACAAACAAATAATGGTCAAACTCTTAAAGACAAAGAGTTTTAATAGCGACGCCTGTACAGCTTTCAGAACAAGAGAATATGATCATTCTTTAGCAGATACCCGCAACACAGAGAACTGATAATAAGCATCAATAAAAAACAAAAATTCATAGAGTACGGTGCCGCCTAACAGTAGAAGCACAGGGGACCACTTACTGGACCATAACCCGGTGGCATCTGCACTAGACCATGCATTATTTTATTGGGTAGAGCAGCAGAGTACTTAAGTAACCCTTTAACCGTAAGCATCTAAGAGCAATCGGACGGGGATATGCGCGGTGAGACAATGTTGCAACTGAGTTTATTGTTTATTATTATACTGCAGTGTGCAAACGTAGAATTCTAATGTTCTGATGTGAAGCCATACAGTGAGTATTAAGATAAGACACTCGAAAATACAGTTCAGAATTCAACGTAAACCTTTTGTGCATGATTTCAGCTGACTGAGTACAGCTTCGCAAAGCATTCCCACGAAAGTAGACGAAATATCATCATCGGCAAACTATTCCAATACGTCCTCCACTACCCATGACATTACATAAACACTGGGCATCTCTTTAAGCAGATCGATCATAGTAATGCAGACAGTTCTGCTGTTTAATCTTTGTTAGCTCAGATGAGACTTTCCTTCCCACTAGCGCTTAAAGCAGAGAGAGAATCAATCCTTCACTTGTATTAAAAAAATAAAATCTAAAATTTTTACATTTCCAATTCAGTGGCTTTGAGCGCAAAGTCAAGATGATGGTTGATGTAAATAAATGCTTTATTGCACAGAGTCGAGACATTTCAGCCACACAACTGCGAATTCTTCGGGACAATGCATAAACAATAGGTGTTACAGTAATACAAATAGCGTGAAGCAGCTTTAATAAGCACATCAGTAGATTCCAGTCCTTGGCGATGTCGAAGATAACAATTCAGTTATCACAAAGCTTATTACTGTATAGCTTATTGTCTAAGCACTGTCCCGAAAAACGCCGCTATCGTATGACCGAAACGATGACTGTTTGTGCAATAAGGCCTTGTTTAACATAAACCATCCGCTTTACTTTGCGCTCAAAACTAATGAATCAAAAATTTACAGAATTTACGAGCTGTTGGTGCAGAATTAGAATGAACTTTAGAAGGCATAAAAATAAAATCTTAATAATTCCTTTAATAATAAGAGACGGTTAGAAGAATGTAAAAATACTGTATATTTATCAAGTGAAGTTTACAGAAACTACGACGGTATTCTTAATCAACATAAACCACTAATTATCAAATAATGTTTAAGAAAGAACAACGGTGTGAATTTTGAAAGCTTCATGAAAGAAAAATGTTTTAATGTTTCTAGCCCGTCTCTTTCATTGTCTGTTATCATTAAGAGCCTGTTTACGTTTTTCAAACTGAATGCATACTGTGATTTACTATTTCACTAATTCACGAAACTATACATCTGACTGCTTGTATAAGAAGCAGTAGTGCCGTCATTTTCCGCCGCCAACATATCGTCGCTATCATCGCCATGTCTTCACCATCACCATCATAATCATCACTTCCTTCTTTCCTTTATCAACGTAGTCATGCTCATGATCATTATAACCATGATACATGATCATCACAGCCAATCGTTCTGATCATCATCGCGCTGTAATAATGATAAGCTTGCTGACCTCCTTAACATCCTTCTTATCTATCTGCTCCTCCTCCTCATCATCATCATGATTAAGCCTTCGCATTTAAGATGCAACACAATAAGCAGTTTCGAAAAATGGGGCAAAGGTGCATTATAAAACGTCTTCTGACACAAATAACACGTCTATAGGGCTTCAAATAACAAGACATAAATGCGATGCATGCCACGTCTTCTACACTAAGTACATAAAGACAATCTGAAATTTTAAAACAAGGCCGTACCTACTAACAAGCTGTCACCAAGTCTTTCTTCGCTGGCTCCTTTCTGATAAAACTTGCCGCAGAATCCGAGGTTAAACGTAAAGTTTGCGATGTGCCGACGAACGCGTTCCTGCGCTTGGATCAATTCCTGAAAAGCGGTCATTCGGCGAGACATTTAACGTACACATTTCTATGCAAACAGAATTGTACACAGGTCGGTATGGAGCATGTGTGTATATATTATGCTGCATGCACATATTTAAAATATTTAGATTTACACGCGAAAGGAAAAAAGAACGTTTGTAACTGTTGGAATGTCGGTTTTCCGTACACTTTAATGATGGAGCCACTGCTGCGTATAATTATTGTCATGAAGTTATTGGTGGGGAGCCGCTCTCCATTTCCATCCAATCAGCCAGGAGTGCTGTATTGTGCGCCAAGGACTGAGACGACAGCAACTATGTGGCAAGCACAGTGTGCAGTTTCTTATTACCTTTCCACGGAGTGATACTCATTTATCAATCTTGGAAAGAAGACGAGTGGCCCGACTCCATACAGACCGAGCAACCGCAATTCATCTTGTATGTAAAAAAGAGCGCAGTTACTATTTCCTAAAAGTTTCGCTCTATACCTAAGTGCTGATCCATGGATGAGCAACAAACAAAGTCCATGTAAAACTTTATTACTTGTGCGCTTCGATTACCACATCGTTGCGTCGTCAGGGGACAACTGAAAAAGAAAGCAACAGGCCGCCTTATCAAACCAGAATGCAAAAATATAAATGTGAGCAGCACAAGCAACAAGCACAAATTAAAATTTATATAAAAATTCGAATTTTAATCTAGTCACTCATGGCATCAGTTTGGAAGATCGC